CTGGGTATTCCAACAAGATTCGGCGCCAGCTCATAGAGCGAAGAGCACACAAGACTGGCTGGCGGCGCGTGAAATCGACTTCATCCGGCACGAAGACTGGCCCTCCTCCAGTCCAGATTTGAATCCGTTAGATTACAAGATATGGCAACACTTGGAGGAAAAGGCGTGCTCAAAGCCTCATCCCAGTTTGGAGTCACTCAAGACATCCTTGATTAAGGCAGCCGCCGATATTGACATGGACCTCGTTCGTGCTGCGATAGACGACTGGCCGCGTAGATTGAAGGCCTGTATTCAAAATCACGGAGGTCATTTTGAATAAACTTTAGTGTCATAATAATCTATGTTTTGTTAAGTTCATTTTGGTATATGAATGGTTACATAATGAATAAACTTGTTTCAATTATTTTACATTAAACATGTGACAGAATTTATGACCTGACTAGGTATATATACGAGTGTCTGGCGTTAAACACTGGCAAATCTTTTTTATGATTGAAGGGTTACTGGTGGCCCGGAGGCCTTTCCAGTTACGCTGGGACAGGTGGGCGAGCAAAGGCAAAGCCAGGAGGGGTCGGATTTGCTAACAGCTGCCCGAGCGCCACCGAAGAAGACCTAACAACTTAAGAGCAACTGCTTCGCGAATGAATCTACTAACGGATCGAAATCGCGACCTGCTGAGAAGATCCGACGAGAAATTCAGCGGGCTGATGCATGGGTTAGGTTGCACGTCGACCTCTTTGTCGAGTTCTACGAATACGGTTACCGGGTCCCTAAGCCTGCTCCTAATGTTAGAGCTGACTGGCAAATCTAGCAAGTCGTCGTGGCCTAAAGGATGCGACGCCATGTGTACTAATGTCAAGCGATGCGACTGTGCTGGCGTCGATCTCACAGGATGTGAATCTCACAGGCAGGTATCGATTTTTCTAATAAAATACTAACTAATATACTTAGCTCATCACAAGTTCATGCATGACTTCCACGATGAAGTAATAACATCGTGTAATAAGAATTTTTATCTGCGTAATAGCTAAACAATTAAGACATGGACCTCAACTCAACACGTCTCAACAAGTCCCATGGTGTGTGGTGGCATTCACCTTGTAATGTCTATGAGCTTCGGTATCCACTTAGCATTAGATGGGCCGTGAGCTCGTTCCGTTTACGCCATAATCTATATATTAATACGTGAGGGAAAAACGTTGTACCCTTTTTTACGAAAATTGCGCTGACGGAGGAGTATGAAATTTCCAACACTTAAAGAGAAGAAGTGTAGCAAGCTATTTTTTTTAATTATGCATAGAAATATATTAAATCAATTCAGAAAACATTACACACACTACCGTGTGTCTGAAACACACGCTTAAATACTCTCTTCTTTATTGTTAAGTTAAGTTTGTGGTCAAATTAAGAATAGATTAATATTGTCTTTAATATTATTCGTCTTTTTTATTTTATTTTATTAATTAATGGGTGGACCAGCTCACAGTCCACCTGGTGTTAAGTGGTTACTGGAGCCCATAAACATCTACAACGTAAATGCGCCACCCACCTTTTTTTTTAACCCTGGGGATTCCATTTACGGATATCCGGTCCGGGGGGGTAACGAACCGGGTTATGTCGGACTCCGGCGCCTCCTGAGAGGAAGAGGGGGACGAGGAAGGCCAAGGTCCTCCACCTCCCCGAATTCCTCGCAGGAGACTACGCCTTGAAAAAGACGCGCGAAGCACTTGCCCCGCAGAACGACTACCGACTAAACCCGATCAAGCTCCACCGCACCGGCTACACCAGACCTACGGTACCGTAGTGCGCGCCGAAAGTCCGCCTGCGCCACCTACCTAGAGATATAAATTCTAAAGTCTCAAGTATAGTTACAATGGCTGCCCCACCCTTCAAACCAAAACGCATTAAGTCTTTAGTGGTCTTGGCTAAATCTGTGATTACAGAAGTATAGTCTTTGACAATAGAACCACAATAATGTTCAAACTTATAATTTAAATAAATTATGGTCGAGTTTCGACTACTGGGCGACCACTAGTATTAATAATAACTTCTATTTAAAGCTCCCTTGATAGTTCACCTTAGCTTCTCTTTCACATTTAAATTCATATAAATTGTGGGTGTTTACTTTTTATCCTATTGTAGCCATTATTGATTATAAATGTGATTACTGTGGATACAGGACTAGAAGAACTAAGATTCCTAGAAGAAAGTAAGATTAAAATGTTACCGGAGTTGAATTCATTTTTTTTTGTTGCTTAGATGGGTGGACGAGCTCACACCCCACCTGGTGTTAAGTGGTTACTGGAGCTCATAGATATCTACAACGTAAATGCGCCACCCACCTTGAGATATATAAGTTGTAAGGTCTCAGTATAGTTACAACGGCTGCCCCACCCTTCAAACCGAAACGCATTACTGCTTCACGATAGAAATAGGCAGGGCGGTGGTACCTACCCGCGCGGACCTACTCACAACAGGTCCTACCACCAGTAATTACGCAAATTATAATTTTGCGGGTTTCACTTTTATGACACGATGTTGTTCTTTCACCGTGGAAGTCAATCGTGAACATTTTTGGAGTACGTATTTCATTAGAAAAATTGGTACCCGCCTGCGAGATTCGAACGCCGGTGCATCGCTTCAACACGAATGCACCAGACGTCTTATCTTTTAGGCCACGACGACTTCAAATCACGACGAATTCATAAAATAAATGATACAAAACTAAAGAAGATGTGTGGTGTCGTGGGGCACCGGATAGGAACGAAGTTCCTTATTATAAAAATATTAATTTTAAGTTATATTCGAGGTATACAGATAATCATTATTCGGGAATACATTTTTTAATACGATTTTTTATTGATAGAAATAAAAATAATCGCAAGGGTCAATCACTCCGCAGTGCAATGGAGCAGCCTCGCCCTGGGGGAACCGCCTGCATGATCACGGTATCCCCTATGCCAGGTAAATATGATTAAGCAAGAGAAATACGAGAACGTCTATCAACTGTGTAACATCTCGTCACCGCGATTCAGGAATTGTTAAATTTACGTGCAGCGATATCTGTTGATAACAAACTGAATAGAAAAAATCTTACGTTACGGACGTTTTTTCCCGGTTAGGGTACCCCTCCGCATCGTCCCATTAGGAACTTCGTTCCAAAACATTTAAATCATGTCGAAATCTCCTGTAAGTAGCAGAACGCAAGTCAGTACTACGTTTAAACCATAACGAAATAGATAGCCTATTTCGTTGAAACTTGAAAGTTCAGCACATAAAAGTTGAAAAGCCCCCGGGAACTATCCCCGTTAAGTTTAGAGTGGCATCGCTTATTGTCGGCTTGTTAAGTTTCCTTTAAAATTATATTAGGCTCGTTTTCCTGCATTATTCACGTTCATCCCAAAACGATGAATATTTAAGACGATTTGTTTGAAAGCGTTTCTTGTACTGATAGTCTAGTAGAGCTTAGTAGAGATGACGTATAAACTTTGAAAAAAAAAGCTATAGTTATGTACTACTTCCCATGGAAAATTAAAAGTGTCCAGTTTCGATTTCCTTAAAGTGTTTTGTTAATAAGACTCCTTTGAGCGAAGAAATGTTAAGATGTATTATTATCACAGTTCAGAGAAAATAAGTCCTTAAGTCCTTAAATTATAATACTAAATATTATTTTTAAATGTAATTCTGTCGTTGTAATGCGACATCCTTGTTTTATCTTCTTCTGCACTATTTTTTACCTTTCTACCTGTAGTCTTATATTGGAGGGAGACTTGGCCATCGAGACGTGCCAATAAAATCAATAAATAGAGAAATAGACGACTTCTTGCATTGAAATATTCGTTTTGCCACTAAGCAGTCTTGAATCCTGGTTCGGAGGGTGGAATAGCCGTCATAAAATACTATATTCTCTTTCTTTCTGCCTATCTTAAGATACTGCTAATCTTTCTGCCGATATGACTTTCAACTCATATGTCAAGGTAGGCAGTGGTAAACATATTGTAATGTGTATAAGCTTCTATAATCACTTAATGTCTAGTGGACGATAATGCTGATCTTAGACTACACATCTTACGTATTTATAATAAAAATAATGGAAACTTATTTTTTCTTTTTCTTTTGTAGGCAGCCGAGCATACGGCCCACCAGATGGTGAGTGGTTACCGTCGCCCATGGACTTCAGCAATGCTAAGGGCAGAGCCAAGATGCCATGTAGTACATCAATCTGAATGCATTGTCAAAAAATCGGTCCAGACAATACAGGATCGAAAGCACAACTAATTTTGAAAGCTCTCGTTTAGGAGCAGATTTATGATCACAATCCTAAATGATAATGTTGCAAAGTTTCTGACTATCGTTAGGTGTTATCGTTGGCTTTATAATAATTACTTTTACGTGAGAATAAAAAGCCTACGATTAATCTAAAATCGAAATAGACTGAGACTTATTACTTATAAAAAGGCCCTTACGGATCATAAACATAGTCTTCCAAATAAATTGAATTCAATATAACAAAGTAATACCACTAGCCTTGTATTGAAGATTTGTTTTACAATGATATTTCAGCCATTGCTGTTTCAGCACGAAGCGTTAAATTCGAACTTCAAATAAAATATTGGGATTGGTCGATTTTCGAAAAAATTTGAAAACGTATTCGATTTTGAAATATTCCAGCCGGTCTATCGGTTTTCGATCAGTGTGCCCCGAGGCGCTGGGATGGACGCACGTCGCGTGTAGCTATATCACACGACTGCCGAATCTGCTTGATTTGTTTACCGTGCGTGTTTCATTCACATTCAGTTTTTATTTCACATTGTTTCAGTGGAGTTTACTAAGGAAATTACTTGCGTCTACGTCTTTATTTCAAGATTAGAAGCGTTTTTTTACTGCTAAATATGGAAATGTTTAAACGCTGAGATGTTTTTGAAAGTTTTTCGTGAACTGATATGCGGTTTTGTTAATGAAATGGGCGAAGTTTTGTGGTTTCTGTTGTTCTTGATCTCTGCGATTCATGGATACGTGGAGACCGAGGAGTTTATCAGCGATCTGGATAAGCCGAGTGAGTGAACATAATATTATATCGCTTAATGCTTTCAACTGAAGTGTACTTTTATAGATAAGAGCAATAACGTTATAACGTTTTATTTAACTCTAGTTTTCTTTTGGTTCTTTTGAAATTAACTGTTTGTATTCGCCGTTATTTTATATATTTTTTTTATTTTTAATCTTGAGTAGTATTATATATTTCTATTTTATATTAATAATTCCTTACCTCGACTATCCTAATGTAGCTTACAAAACTGCCTGTTTTAAGATTTTGTTTTTTATCTGAAAATGTATTTATTGCTTTTGATTTTTAAATAATGCAATTATGTTTACGAACAAACATAAAGGTACATACATATGTATATATGTCTAACGTAAGCTAACAACAGGTAGACGATCACGGATCGTTAGATTTTAAACATTGACAGAGTTCTATAGAGATCACAGAGACTACGTGAATGTCCTTACATTTCAGTTTTCAACAAACCTCCTTGTTATGATTCAATCATTTACCAGCTAAAATACCAAGAAGAAGTAATTCGGGAACGTCAAGCATCGTCGGATTCAAAGAGGCAATTATGTTGTACATTTTTTCCTTACCCCAGAATCTTCTGAATTATTTGTCAAAAACAATTACAGGATCAAGCTACTGAATGTCTGTTGGGAACTTATTGAGTTATATTCCTATTGATGTTTGATTGATGAATTTTTTCATTGTTTTTATGTTTATCGGTACTGGTAGACGAACGAGCTCAAGATCGTTCTTGCGGTAAGCGGTCACAGAGATTTTGAAAACCCAAGCTAACCTGGTTTCAAACGTAAATTTCTAGGTTTACCAGAGCACGTGTTACCGTAGTTAGGTTGCTACTATCGGAATCAATTGCATTGAAATTCTCTCTTAACTTTATGATCAGAATGCTCAATTGCTTCGTGGCAGAAATAATCGGGTTGGTAGCACACGTGTGTATGGGCTTACGGCACTGTCTTTTATGACAACTTATGACATGTGGAGAGTCAGTTAGACAAATGAAGTGATGCTACAACTAAATACTAGTAATATGGCAGCGACCAGAACGCTGTGTTTAGGTTCACAAATGATCTAATGTGTTTGCGGCTTGAAGACCTGGTGCCAATTCAACTTTATTGAATATTGTAATATTTATTGACAATTCCGACATTAAGTTAACGATATCTGCGATTTGAATTTTACAAAATGAACATTTGAAGTGTTTACTCTTTGTTCAATAATAGAAATTCACTACCACCGTAATATTTCGATTTATCTTATGGATTACATTGTCACTTTTGTTCTGTTTTGGATATTAGAAAAAAAAGACAATTTAAAAAAAAGTTGATAGCAACGAATCCTTAATCGTTACTTAACAAAATCATGATAAAGATGATCGATTGGCATGCAGGAGAGGAAATTAGCGGCTTTGTCTCTGTCTATTTATATATAATAAGTTTTTTTTTATTGCCCTTGTATGCAGACGGGCTTACGGCCAATCTGAAGGTGAGTGGTTACCGTTGGCCAAGGAAGTCAGCAGTGTCAGGGGCAGAGCTAACCTGCTGTCTACCGTAATACTTTCCACAAGCCTCGTTTGAGTAAGGACATGTCATAGCGCCCGGGAAATAAATGCAGGGAAACAAGACAATGGAAAGTAAATTATGCTACATATAATGAATGTTCTTCCGATATTTATAATTTCTCTTCTGTTTCACAACGAACGTTCATAATTCCCAGAAAGTTTCTAGTTACAATTACATTAACATTAAGCTTAACCTTCGTCTAAAAGAAAATCTTCAATTTCCCCGATATCCTCTGAATTTCAAAGTGTGGAATAATTAATTTATCAAAGTAGTACAGCGATATAATTGGAAGTACAATGTGGGCTCGAGACGTTGCGTACCACAAAGGTTTTAGTTTCTCAGATATTACGTAACGTGAATAATAATAATTGTCTCCGAGTGATTTGTTTAGTAAGCCGACCTTGTTAGAGCAGATATATGAAAAACAATATGAGCTAGCTTTCAACGAGGAATCCGATTTCAAAAGTAAATGGAAAAACAAGATTCGCGTTGAACCTAATTAAATTATTGTTTACAACTCTGGCTGTAAATTAAATTTCGAAATAAGTTGGGCTTATATTGGGTGACAGCGCTACACGCCTCCCAGCCCAGCTAGTTCGAATCGCTTGGATTCCGCATTGGTGGTAGGACCTCTTGTGAGTCCGCACGGGTAGGTGACACCACCCCGCCTATTTCTGCCGTGAAGCAGTAACGCGATTCGGTTAGAAGAGTGGGGCAGCCGTTGTAACTATACTGAGACCTTAGAACTCATATATCAGGGTAAGTGGCGGCATTTACCATGTAGATGTCTATGGGCTCCAGTAACCACTTAACACTAGGTGGGCTGTCAGCTCGTTCACCCATCTAAGCAATAAAAAAGAAAGAAAAAAGAAACGGTTGTTCAAAATGGATAATTACTTTCAGGGAGAATTAAGTAGGATGATGGGACTTGGAAACATATATTGGCCAAGCACCAGTGATTGTGAGATATCGTTCGTACTATGCTATGCTATAATAGACCGGTGCCATCTAGGCGGGCTTCGGACAGCTTGCCGATCGAGAGGGCTGGTGGTCGTGGCGCCGACGACCGCCGGTCCGACGTCCCGAGGGGGAGGGTGATGGGAAAGATGTGCTCCACACTAAACGCTTCACTCAGGGGGCGGTCAAAAGGGGGACTTTTGCTTTTTCTTGAGTTCTGTCTCATGCGAGGCTCGAACGTGGGTTGTTGAGCGACACTTAGTTTTAGTTGGTTCGACTCCGACATACCCCGCCCGCCATCCCCAGTGTAGAGTGGGAGTCCGGAGAATTCCCCCTGAGCAAAAAAAAATATGTTATAATAGAATAATACTTAGAAAGTGCTGTTGCACATTTTCCGGTGACATTTGTTGGTCTACAAAATGTAAGGATTAAGTAATGTTTTTGTGAGGACTTTTAATGTAAAATGAAACATTCTTCTTCAAATCTTCATTGGCATTACACACTGGAGACGAACGACAGAATCTCTGCGCATCTTTACAGAGTTTCTCAGGGGATCAATTTGCATCGCTTCCGTGATACACTCGGCGGAATTGGATCAGCTTAGTTCCTTTAGTGGAGCAAAACGGAATCCACTGTATAGATTGGATTGCATTCGTATCGGGAGCTGGAAATCTGTTATAACGGTCGATATTTAGTACGACACGTTAGCTCAAAGGGATAATCTGTTTGAGCTTTCTATGAGATAATTTGGCGTGGTTGTGGCAAGGCTGCGTTATAGATTTACGGGCGGTATACCACAAACACAATGTCGATGAGTGTTTAGCAAATTTCAAAATGGTATTAACGACAAATCTATATATATAAAAGAAAGTCGTGTTAGTTACACTATTTGTTACTCAAGAACGGCTGAACTGATTTGACTGAAGATTGGTGAGGAGGTAGCTTAGAACCAGGAGAAGGATATATGATACTTTTTATCACGTTCCCGTGGGACGTGACATAAAAAGTGGTATAACAAAACGCAACTGATATGGAATAACAAAACGCAACTGACAGCTAAACGTTCTATGGTTAAATAAAGTAAAATTATGAAGTTGACCGGTTGATGTGTTTGAAACAAACCGTGTGGCGGAACAAAGTTCGCCGGGTCCGCTAGTTTTAAATAAACTTCACATTGTAATATTATTATGTGGTGGTGTGTTTACAATTTAACGGTCAGAATTCAATAATCAATCATCTACATAATCAACTATTAAACTGTTGTTTGAGTCTTCGTAAATTAATAAATCTATACTAATATTATAAAGCGGAAGAGTTTGTGTGTTTGTTTGAACGCGCTAATCTCAGGAACTACTGGTCTGATTTGAAAAATTCTTTCAGTGTTATTGAGGAAGGCTATTATAGACTATAAAACATCATGAGACCGATACAAGTGGAGCACCAATAAAGAATGTTTCAAAATATTTTCACTTTCTACGTGAAATATTCTACGTAAATCTAACTATTCCACGCGGATGGAGTCGCGGGCAAAAGTGTTAATAATAAAGGCGAGGTTACATTGTAAAGTATATTTAATTATGTATTATGTCAATCACTAAGCTACATACATTATTTTGTTAATGATTGCATAGAGCTTTATTTTAATATCACAAGGCTATCGCACGGCAGTTAGTTGACACCCACTGCGATGAATTCTGTTTTGTTAATTGTGTTAAATGGCGTAGCTTCGAACGTTATTGTGTAAGTAATTTTTTACTTGTGCTGTTTTGATTATTAATTTGCTTAGGTGGGTGGGACGAGTTCACGGCCTACCTGATGTTAAATGGTACAACGTAAATGCCGCCACTTGAGATATAAGTTCTAAGCCGTTGTAACTATACTGAGAAGTATAGTTACAACGGCTGCCCCGCCCTTCAAACCGTAACGCATTACTGCTTCACGGAAGAAATAGGCAGGGTGGTGGTACCTACCCGTGCGGACTCAAAATACGTCCTACCACTAGTAATTACGCCAATTATCATTTTGCGGATTTGATTTTTATTACACGATGTTATTCCTTCACCGTGGAAGTCAATCGTGAACATTTGTTAAGTACGTATTTCATTAGAAAAATTTGGTATTGTATTAAAATAGCTATTTTTGTGTTCAGGTATAATTCTTAAGTATCTTGTAGATACATGTAACAAAAGATTTGTCATCCATATGAATAAAGTTAGGTTAGTTCATAGCCCTAATGAAATCAATAGAATACAATTAACTTGGTACGAATCTTGGCAGATACATTTTAAAGCCTCGTATTTATCTTCAGGAATGTTAACATGCAAACCGCTCGCTCAACTCTTCAGGAATGTTCCGGTATCGGTATTTTGTTAGAAACTTTGCCTTTGAGCCGAGAACTTCCGTTGAGTTGTACGACAAACGATGGGAGTGTATTTTCAGGTTTTCTGAAAACATGACACGCTTCAT